ATGAGGTTAGTTTAGTTTTGGCCAAATTTAGAAATGTATATTTTACTGCTGAATAATTTGAGCTGCCACCATTTTTCCAGCAGATTGAAAACATGGGTCTCCTTTTCCAGATTTTCTAGCACTCATTGTTCTTGTAGGACAAAATTTCGTTAATTCAGTGAATATAGGAAAGGCAATGAAACCTTTCACTGAACCCAATGTGGTTACCAAAAAAAACCTCAAACTAGCACTAATATCTGTTGAATTAAGTGAATAAAGCTGTAACTAATTCTCGCCCAATCAAAAGACAAACCCTCGTAGGAGTTCCTAACTTACTGATAATTTAGATTGGGTCACACATGGTCATCTTATGAAACATTAATTCTCAGTTAACGAATTTATAAAGAAAGACTAAATATTTTGTTGTCTAGTCTTAAACAAACTTATTTATAGGATACCCCACTCACATGTCTCCAAGTGAATGATTTGGACATTGATATAACCATTGCAAAATAGGGGGCTTAAGTGAATAAAGGCCCCTGTTTTGTTTAATCCAATTGACCAAATGGGAGCAAAGGAAGTTGTTGGGGTCTTTCTGCAACCATTACTGTGTTTAATGGAGCAAAGGAAGTTGTTGGGGTCTTTCTGCAACCATTACTGTGTTTAATGGTTTGAAATGTGTTTGTTGAAGGGGCTTAAGCCTGAAGTGAAAAAAAGCAAGTTTTTTTTTTTTTTTTGGCTTACAATATAAAAATAGAAAAATGTAAAAAAAAAATTCTAGATCTGAAAAATGTAGTGAAAGGAAAAATAAAAATGAGACAGAGAATATAGTATAATGTATAATAAGAATGGAAAAATTTTAAGAAATAGAGCTTTTGTAAGAGATGATTGAGAGGAAAGAGTGTTTAATTTTCTCAAAAAAGATTACAAAAAGGACTTGAGGTATTGATGCATGCTGTGTGCCTCGATGTGCTTCAGTGAGGGTACAATGCTTCAATGCTTCACTTTAAAAACACTGGGTTTGAAATTGATTTAGTTGTTTCACGTTTTGGTACTACAACATTTGATGATTAAGAAATACGTTACATAACTTGACTTCCTAACCAGCTTTGGGATTCATGACCACTTGGTTGAACCGGAAGGGCTTTCCATTATGATCAGTCTTTCAGCACTTTCACAGCTATTTGATTTCTTCAATTGAATTCTTAATCTTATTTTCTGTCAACTGACAGTCCGGCATGATTTAGAGTTGTTTCCATGGGCCTATAACATTCTTCTTTTATTTGGTGAATTGGCTCCATTTTCTGTCTATGATAATTCATTAGCTCGGTTTTTATCATCTGAGTTAGTGAAAATAATAACGAATAGAGTTATGCTAACCTTTATTTGTTTCCAACAGTTTCCATATTAATTTGCGCTTCTGGATAAGTTTTCTGATTGTGATCTTAGGCTTCCTGATCTTTAGAACATCCAAACCAGCCAAAAGCAAGAAGCAGCAAAAAAGTGTAATTGCACGATCGCTGATGTTGAGAATACACTGGCAAAGTTTATCTGGGCTAAAGAAGCACAAAAAAAGATTGAGAAGTTGAAGGAAGAAGGAAAACCAATGCCCAAGAGCTTAGCTGAGGTAGATCTTTATACATATAGTTCCATGTTCTTAAGAACTAAAGTTTACCGTCAACATTGCCATATCTAGCCAAAGAAAGTAGTTATTGTATGGATACATTGCAAAGCTCTTATCCTTTTCTGTTAATACGACTCGGTTCCTTCTGCTTTTGTACCACCCTGAGAACTGACAAGGGCTTGGAGTTTCCTGTTTTCTGGTCCTGCTTTCCGGCATACTTTTATATTTTTTATAAATATATTGATTTTTTATTTTTTAAAAGTTGTGACAATGCTCAACTGATCATGTTTGTTTACAAATTATGTTTACTAGGTCCAGAAACTGGTGGGTTCAAATCCTTTGGATCTTGCTAGGTCTAATTTGGCTAAGAGTGGCCAGATCAGCCGTAATGCTCTCTGTCCTTGCGGTTCCAAGAAGCGATATAAACGGTATTTAACTTAGAACCGTTGCTTAATTATTGAATTACAGTAGAACTCAAAATGTCTTTTCATTGAGCTTACCATCAATCCTCAATTCATAGCTTAAAACAAAGCAAAACCAGAAAGAAGATGATCATCCTTTGAGTAATAGGTTACTATGCAATATACCCCTGGAGTTGTTCTACTTTAGCTGAGTAAGTTAGGGTAGAACTTTGGTTCTTGGATGATGTAACTGTCCAGAAACCGATCACTGGAATGTTGATCATTTTTGTATTGCCCATCTTACTTATGGTTCCAAATCACTTTTATAAGCCCGTTGATCTTCTGCCTGGCCGCAAAGAACCCATCACCACGACAATGCTTGCTTGCAATGTAGCCCCATAGTCGTTCAGTTTTATCCTTCCAACTCGCCATGAACATCTGGCTCCTCTTTCCTTGTGCAAGTCTGATTTTAAAAATGTGTATATACTTCTGTTTAGCATGGATTTCTTATTACTGCAATTATTTTTGTTTTTTTGAAGGTGCTGCGGGAAGGATCAAACGGCATAGGAAGAGAACTTGTTTGTCTGTTCCCTGTTTCTTGACTGAATAAGTGGCAGTTCATAAGGATTATGTTAGATTGATCTTTCTATTTTATTTTACCTAGTTGGTTAAGCCATTTATGGAGGGAATGAGTCATTGGCATGGTTTTTAAATGCGTCAAATCCTCGTGATCCTTCACGGGACCTTCAATATGTAGTCTCGTGACAATAGTTGAGGTGTGTCGATCTTCTAAATATAGTAAGGACAGGCTATTGTCTGGTGACAATAGTCGAGGTGCGCCGATCTTGCAAATATAGTAAGGCCAGGCTATTGTCTCGTGACAATAGTCGAGGTGCGCCGATCTTGCAAATATAGTAAGGCCAGGCTATTGTCTCGTGACAATAGTCGAGGTGCGCCGATCTTGCAAATATAGCAAGGCCAGGCTATTGTCTCGTGACAATAGTCGAGGTGCACTGAAGCTGGCCCTAATTATTGTTGAAAAAAATGTGGTATGTATTCCTTGATCCTCGGTAGATCTTCAAATTTCACCTGAATGAGTTGGATTTTGCTAGGGGCTATTATTCATTAATTATATATGATGTTTGAGTACCTAAAAGTGCATTTTTGGCTAAAAGATATTCTTCGTTTTGGCTCGTTTCCTTATCATCGCCAGCTTTTCGGTTTTAGTATAATGATCGATTATGTAAAAGTTTTCACACCCTTGTGGTTATGAAGAAGTTTTCATTCTTGTTTGTGAACTTTTAATATCTTTTGTTTAAAATTGGATTGAATAATTATAAATTGTAGATAAATAAAAGTTTTTTAAAAAAAATTAATTTTTTTTTTTACAACAAGATAACCCAACTAGAAAATAGAGGTTGAGTTGGGTTGCGAAAATTTACGGGTTGGGTTGGGTTACCAATCCAACTAACTCGAACTTTTGAGTTAGTCTGAAAAATTCTCTCAACCCAATCTAATCCGACCCATGTATACCCTTCTTATGATCTAAGAGTTCGCTCACCATATTGATCGTGACATTGATCTCGACGTAATATTGTATGTGTTTAAATGGATAAAAAATTAAGAGTGGATGCCGAATAGCTAAAGCAATTGGATAAAAGCTTCAACTACAAACTTCTTGAAAGGAATATGAATAAACTATGAGATTTGGATAAGAGCAAACAACTTCTACCTAGTTTAATCTCCACTTAACTTTAATAAATTCTTGACTTCAACCCATTAAATGGTGCATATCTACATCATCTTCACTGTACACATTCATTCTTAATGCCATTCTAACAAATATTTATTTGATTAACTTTTTTAAATCTTATTGTAATAATTGTGACACTCGAATAAAACAGAAATACATGAATGAATCAAGATCACATATGAATAAGTAATCTTAAAGATATGATGGTTAAGAAAACCTTAAAAGAACGGATTGTTGCTATCTATACCAACAAAAATCGGTGGCTCCATCGTAAGAACTCTAATGTTAAGTGCGTTTAGTTTAGAGTAATCTTATGTTCAATGTTTTCGTAAAAATTAATGTGGAGCTATCCATCTAGGTTCCATATTTTTATCTAAATTTTAGGCGCATAGTGTTACAGTACTTCACATATTTCTGTATTGAATTCGCAAGTTCAAATCTTAATATCATTACTAAGAAAATTAATCTCTATAATTCTTTTTTTGAGATTTTTAAAAAATTGACGGGATTTGATGCTGATATTAGTACGAAAATATATTTTTTTTAACATTAAAAAAATGGAGAAAGAAACGGCACATAGTTGTGAAAAAAGAGAAAGAAATGATTTTTTTTTCAAAAGAAAAAAAAAAAAGCTCTACCTAATCCAATTAGAAAATGGAGTGTTTTGACATTGATTTTTCCCATTGATAATTGATCGTTAAAGTGACAATGTGGGATTAGGTTTAGACTACGTGAAAGTTGAACTGTAACCATTCATACCTTTGATTCGAGTCAAAATATAAAATTCGAATTCCAGACTCTGACATTTTCAGAGATAAGATCATGTTATTTACTCATCGCTTTTAAGAGTAAAAACTATCCACTAATACGTGCCATTTCAGCATATTTTGTTTAAAAAAATTCAAGATATCCTCAATTATAAAATTATTTCAATTAAAAACATAGCATTTTATTATAAAGGTATCAACTTTTAATTCTTTTAAATTTTTTCGACCTATTTTTATGATTAGAAAACGGTCTCAGTTCATTCATTTATCCCTAAAAAAAACATAAAATAAAAAATAAAAAAGGTTGGTATATATTTTGAAAAAAATGCTTTTTATTTTTTAAAACCATCCCATAAATTATAATAAATACATTGAAGAACAAAAAAAAATATATTTAGAAAAGTAATTTGATGGATCACACTATATAAGTATCCTAATTTGTTGCATTGGTAATGCAAAAGAGAGACATAGAGAGAGTGGAGAGATTCTAAAATGGCCTCCAAAGTGCATACTAGACTTCACCTCCAAACAAAGCCATGTCTATCAAAAATGGCAACACTTCTCCTTTTCCTTTGCTTCTTATTCACCTCCTTCTCTTATGGTAATTTCTTTCTTTCCATTCCACGTTAGTTCCGTTTCATAATCATTTAATTTGTTAAAATCGAGTCTGTAAATATTATGTTATTTTCTTTCGGTTGTTAGATGATGAAAGTCCCACATCGGTTAATTTAGGGAATGATCGTGGGTCTATAATCAAAGAATAATCTCTCCATTGGTATGAGACATTTTGGAGAAGTCCAAAGCAAAGCCACGAGAGCTTATGCTCAAAGTGGACAATATCATACCATTGTAGAGAGTCGTGTTCATCTAACCACTCTTATAATCCCTCTAAAAATAAATATTGATACAATTCGGTGGGTTTGAATATGGTAGCAGCAGAAGCAAGGAATTGCCATAGAGTGTGGAACTGCAAAGGAGACATTAGGTGTTGGGAAGACTGCAAAAATGAGCACAATGGAAAGGGACTTTGTGATCTCTACACTGCACCTTCTGTCCCTAAGCAATGCTTTTGTGCTTATAAATGCTAAACACTTTTCGTGTTTTCTTCCTTTTGTTTCGGGTCTAAATCGAGTTAGTATCGAGTAATAGTGAGCTCTCACGAGCACCCTTCATGTGTTTTACTATCTAATTTAGTTCTTGCAATTTTAATGAATATTATAAATCACGAGTTTCAATGACTATACATGCATGAAAATCTATTTTATTCTTATGGAAAAAAAACCATTAAATATATTTTCTAATATCGTAAGTCTATCAAAATGTCAAAAAAACGAAGTGTAAATATGGTAAAGGAGAGGAAATTGAGAAGTCCCACATCGCTAAATTTGAAGCAGTGGACCAAACGAACTGCTATAAATACAAGACAATGGTGTCCAGTATAACATACTTACCTGGACGGGGTCAATGGGCGATCTAGAAGGCTCATGGCCTAGATTGGTGACCTCCATTGCACCTAAAGGAGGGGTGCCCGCCTAAGGTCTGCCCGAAGTGGTAGAGCCTACGTCATAATTTGTGGTAGTGGGGGCCTGCGTTCGCGCGGCCCCTTACAATTCTACATGAATAATTTTATTTCAATAATAGTCTTCTTTATATATTTATTATAAATATATGTTTTAATATTTTGGTTTACCATATATGTATATTTAAATTTCGATTTTATATCATCATTAAACCTCAATCAAAATAAAATATTATGAACCAAAATGGAGATATTCATTCTTATAATTATATTTATATAAATGAATTAGCTAGGGTTAATTATATATATATATATATATATATTTTTTTTTTTTTTGCTCAAAAGCTAGTTTATAAGTTTTTCTCAATAAAAAAAACATATATTAATATATTAATATCAAATTATTTAAATAAAATTCATTATAGCTATATATTCATAACAATAAATAAAATGTAATAATATTTTTGCCCTAATTAAATTATTATCAACACTTTTTTTTGTTATTGTAATTTTGTTTAATTGAGTTTTTTATTTGTAAATTATCAAATAATATATATATATATATATTGAAGAACCGAATCGAACCGGACCAAACTGAAAAGACCGGTCAGTGTTAGAGACGGAACTTGAAATATCAAATGTGGTTTAGGGTTTTGAATTCAACTGCAGTGAAGATACGCCGGGAACGGACCAATGGCAGAGCATTCCGCGCCACCCATTGACCAACTATCCGCCGTCGCCTTGAACGACGATGCTTCCACTTACAAGTCTCTCAAAGCCGAATTCTCCGATCGCGTTCCGATCCGTACAATCGTCTGCCGGCCAGACGGCGGCTCTGGACTCGCTGGCCATAAGGTTCGGGTTGGTGGTTGGGTTAAAACCGGAAGGAAGGCGGACAAGGATGCTTTTGCCTTTCTTGAGTTGAACGACGGCTCTTGCCCTCAGAATCTCCAAGTGATCATCGAAGCGGCTGTGGCGGATCTTGGCCAGATTGTCCCCACCGGAACCTGCGTTGTTGTCGATGGCGTTTTTAAGCTTCCTCCACCGGATAAGCACCAGAAGATCGAGCTTCGTGCTGAGGCTGTCGTCCATGTTGGTCCGGTCGATCCTGCGCGGTATCCTTTGCCGAAGACGAAGCTCACTCTTGAGTTTCTTAGGGATGTCGTTCATCTCCGCCCTAGAACAAACACGGTAAAAGAAATTTAAATCGTTTGTCAAATTAAATTTGAAGTTAGTTATTGGATCGAATCGTTTCGATTGATCTTTTCACATTCTGCATTTCATTTCTTATGTAATTATATAACTTGGCATATACATGGTTTGATCCTCTCTAACGTCAATAGAAAGTTGCAATTTATAGAACATAATCATTTTTATTGATGAGTATGTGTTTTCTTCATTTGACGATTACAGATATCTGCGGTTGCTAGAATTCGAAATGCACTTGCATATGCCACTCACACATTTTTCAACAAGCATGGATTTCTGTATATTCACACGCCAATTGTCACCACAAGCGATTGTGAGGGAGCGGGTGAAATGTTTCAAGTTACCACTTTATTGAGTGAGGCTGAAAGGTTAGAAAAGGAGTTGATTAAAAACCCACCTCCATCAGAAGCTGAAGTAGACGAAGCAAGAAAAATTGTCAAGGAGAAAGGAGAAGCTGTTTCAAACCTGAAGGCTTCTAAAGCAAGCAAGCAGGAAATCGGTGCTTCTGTTTCGGAACTGAAGAAGGCAAAGGAGAATGTTGCTAGGTTGGAAGAGAGAGCAAAACTTAAACCAGGCATTCCAGAGAAGGATGGGAAAGTTGATTATGGAAGAGATTTCTTCGCTCGGCAAGCGTTTTTGACTGTTTCGGGCCAGTTGCAAGTCGAAACTTATGCGTGTGCACTCAGTAGTGTATACACCTTTGGCCCGACCTTCCGTGCCGAAAATTCTCACACTTCAAGACATCTTGCAGAGTTCTGGATGGTTGAGCCTGAAATTGCATTTGCAGATTTGCAGGTTTGTTACTACGCCAAAATTGTGTTCTTAGTTGTGTGTTTTTCTGCATACTCACGTATAACCATCATAAGACAATTCTGGCACTTAGCTTATAGTTGAGTTTATGTGTTCTAGGATGAGTTTATCATACTCATGGATGTGAAAAAACTAAGTTACTTTATAAGAAATTTAGGATCCTACTTGATATACGTTCCATGTGAGAAGAAGCTGGTTGAGGACGAAGTTTTAGTTGGCTGTCTCGCTGTGCTACTAAGCAACATGGCAAACAACAATGGATATCTATTAGGAATAAGCAATCAATGGAACTCTACAGTAGTTCAGTGCTCTTCTTCTAGAGATTTGATTGAATTTACCATATTTGACATATATTCTTTAATTGGTTGAAGGATGATATGAATTGCGCTGAAGCATATGTGAGATTTCTGTGTCAATGGTTACTTGATAACTGCCTAGACGACATGAAATTTATGGCTGATAAGTACGACCGAACTTGTATCGATCGTCTCAAATTGGTCTCTTCGACCCCTTTTGTACGAACTTCGTATACGGAAGCTATTGAAATACTTGAGGAAGCCATAAAGAAGGGTAAGGAGTTTGAGAACAAAGTGGAATGGGGAATTGATTTAGCTTCTGAACATGAAAGGTCTGTAAACTCCCATGCTTTTCATTTACATTCCACTCGAACAATGGCGATAGTTCTCATTGTTTTTCTCTTGCTCAGATACTTGACTGAGGTAGTATTTAAAAAGCCTGTCATCGTCTATAACTATCCAAAGGGAATCAAAGCCTTTTATATGAGGCTCAATGACGACTCGAAAACTGTAGCTGCAATGGATGTTCTTGTACCTAAGGTAGTTCACTTCGATTCGATTTTACTTCTATAACTGTGAGTAGTTTCACCCTTTTAATCCTTTTGTTTGTTAAAAAGCAAACTTTTTCCTTGGATTGAAGGTTGGGGAGTTGATTGGTGGAAGTCAAAGGGAGGAGCGATTCGAGGTTATTCGCGACAGGTAGAAGAACAATTCATAGCTCTCTTGTTGATTCTTGTTTCTTTTCTGAACCATGAAGTCTGAATTATCATCTCCTGCAGGATTAAGGAGGTAGGTCTTCCACTTGAACCATATGAATGGTATCTTGATCTGAGACGATACGGAACAGTCAAGCACAGCGGTTTTGGTCTCGGCTTCGAGCGAATGCTTCTTTTTGCCACAGGCATTGACAACATCCGAGACGTTATCCCCTTCCCAAGATATCCAGGACGAGCTGACCTATGATATGATACATTTTGTAACACAAGGAAGGTCCTAGATTTCTTTACTAGCTGATGAAACTAAACTCCTTTGAACCAAAGGAGATTTGATTGTTTGTATCATATTTTTTTTTTATCATTTTAGTTGTTGGGTTTAATTTATTCTCATAATTCTTGGATTTGTGGGTTGATTTGAAATGACATTCATCGGTTTCTTCATGTTTTGGATGTTTTGGTACTAACATTTTTTAATTTGTTTAATCATCTAATGCATCATACTATAAGATGCTTCCAATTATTCTCCTAAAGTTGTCTTTAATGTTCTAAAAGTTTATTATTGTATATATTCTAATTTTGAGAAGAAAAAAAAAGAGCAATTTAAATTAATAAAAATATTTTTGAACTTTATGAAATATATATAATTTTAATATTAATATTAATATTAAGAAAATTAACAAATAATACGTGTGATATAAAATATTTATAAAATAATTGTATTTTATTGCCAATTAACTGCATTTTTAAGGGAGACAAAAATCCGATTTCACTAAATTCTCTTAAAAATCAAAATTTACAAAAAAAAAAAAAACAAATTCTCTAAAAAAAATTGTTGACCAAAATAAAATTACAAAAAAAAAAAAAAACGTGGCCATTAAATACTTTAATGACAAAACGCATTTTATTATGCACGTGACAACCATGCTCTTTTTAGTCCATAATAAAGTCAATTTAACGTTGACTCAATACTTAAATTTAAAAAAAACAATAATAATAATAATAAAATACACCTGTATAGTTATCTTTTATTTTATAATTTTTTCAAATATCATTTAATTTATTTATTTTATTTGATTGCTATTAATTAGTGTTCATCGGTGTGGTTTGATTATAAAGTATTATATTTTGTATTTAGCTAATCAATTATTTAATTTAATATAGTTTTTATTAATTACTACCGATGTTTCTTCTAAGAATCTTGATTCAATATTTTTGTGGTATTACTAGAGATGTCCGTGCAGCTTGCGGTGAGACGGGAACATTCCCCATTCCCATACCTGCCACTCATTTTATTACTCATGTATGCAAAAAAATTTCGAGGAACAAAGGCGGAGAAATCACCTACGAGGAATTTGTGGGGATCAAATTCCTAGGAATAATTTTTTTTTACGGTATATTATTATTTTAAAAAAATAGTTATTTTAAAATTGTCATTTTTCAATATAATTTTTATTAAACATGGATTAAAAAAAAATTCTAACGAACACATTTCAAAAAATTCAAATAATTAATATAAAACACAGTCTTTTTAACTATTAAAAAATTATACAACATAGCTTTTAAGTTTATCTCAAAATTATTATATATATAAATATATTTATATTACGTAAGGCAGGACAGGAGAATTAGACGAGGACGAGGACAGAGAAATACGATCCTGTGAATAGCCT